TGTGAAACACACAAATCCGATCGAAACATTAATTATGCAAAATAACATGGTCAAATTGCTTTGATCAATTAACTGAATGCAGTGGGTGGTCATTAATTGACCGGCGAATCTTTTGAACGGTTCAATAGCGGTTAATGGTCTATTGTGGAAACTTATAATTCCATTTCCATTTACATGGTATAATGATGAAAACTAATTTCTAATGCGGATGTATATTCGAATATTATTATTGGATCTATCAGAGTAAAAAATCACTCTTTATGAGATTAAAATAGAATAGAACCGAAAGTTTCAACATTAAGTTAACAACATTTCGAAAAAGAGACCACAAAATAAAACGAAATAGTGAGTCACAGTTTCGAATTTATTTTTGTCATTTGATCGAAATTCAATGTTCAATTCTGCACTTTTTTAAATTTCAAAACTTCCTTCTAGTCTGAGCTAATCGTCCGAAATCATTGTCAAGTTCTATTTATTTTAAACGCCTGTATTCGATTGGAAATGGTAACGTGATAAACAATTGTGCATATTGTATTACATGTAATTTCAATTGAACAATACTCTTCTATTGAAATATTGATTGAAATGTGTAGAACAACCATGAACCAAATCGGTTTGATGATGAAATCGCATGCTAATAATCCGGCAACAAATTGGCTCACGTAAAATATATTGTTTTTACGTAAAAAGATCTCGTTCCATCATATGAAATGTGGGGAATTTGTATTTCATACAAATGTATTCCACATGATTCATCAATGCGGCTCATTACTATCTCTCTATTTGTTGGAATTATTGCCATTTGTTTTTGGATTGGAAATATTTTTTTTCTTCTAGTTTTACTAGAATGAAGTCAATCAAACATAAATTGGCACACGTAAACTACATTATTTCGCTCTTCGACCTGACTCATTCCATCTATTTTCCAATTAAATATGAATCCGATGTTCAATGTCGATGATTTAAAAGTTCATACTTTTTATCAGCAATTGTATGCAACTATTATTTCCACCATGAGAATAGAACATCGCAGCTTTTGAAATGATACAACCTCGATTGAAGCATCTACAATCAAACTGAATCATTTCATATTATTTCATTCGCACAAGTTGTTAATCTGTTTGGAGTGAGAGTTTATACTTGGGAAATTGGCGAGGGTTCTTAGGGTTCGGATTACCCCCCTCTAAAATATTTTTAGGGACCCTCAACAATTTTGGAAATGAGGACCTTTTTTGCTTTTCACTTTTTTTTGACCGAGAAAATTCTTTCGATTTGCAAGGGTTTTTCGCCAAAAAAATGAGGAGCAAAAAAAACGTTTAAAATTTGTTATCCTCATTTTCTACACATTGTTTACATCGTCAGGGACACCCCATGGATTTTTCCAGGGACCCCCAACGGAATTTTGCCATTACCCCCTCTAAAAAAATGTCCGTCATCATCTATGAATTGGCATTATCATTTAAGGTTTCGCATTGTATCCGATGAACGGAAGGATCAAATTCATTGAATGTGCCATGTCTTTAGAAACTCAATTTAGCTTAAAATATTAGGTACCAAATGGGACCCAGACGAATCCGGAATTGATTTATATACATTAAATATTCAATACTATACAATAAGGAACACACTTTTTGATTAGACCACTAATTTTATTTTCGCACACACCAATCTGGGTAGAATAAAAGTAAAATAATGTAAAAGTATAAGAAAATGATTTCATTTTATTTGCGCATTTTTGAAATGGATCTATCCACTATTCGGTTTTCGAACTTATTGGGAAGAAATCAAGGCAGAAGTGATTCATGTTGATTTAGTACTTCACATTGGTTTCTCTATTATAATTTTTTTGCAATAATGAATTTGAGTTACTAATAAAAATCAATTAACAATAATTGCTACAATTCTTTTGATAGTGAGAAAACCCATAGATTCATTTAAAATTTAAACTACTGCTTCGGCTTCACATCACCAGATCGCTCTTTTTAAATCAAAATTTCTAAAAAAACCTCATCTTTGGTGTTCTTGTGAAAAAAGTTCATTTATAAATTTCTCTTCGTGTTTAATTAATCGTTATACATCAACGACTTTGCTTAACTGACAGAAGATATTCAAGAAGCAACAATTAAAGACGAGTAAAAGTTTGTCTTATGGATGTTAGATGTCTGTTTAATTTCAAAATGAAATAATTTTTGCATCAATATATGGATCATTATCTATGAAATTATCAAAGTATCAGTATTCGATCTGTTAAAATATTAATATTCTAATCTGGCGAATAAATAATTTGAGCTTAAAATAAATCTGTGTCAATGATATGGTTTGTTTAAATCATGTATACTCCAAAATTCGTTTGAAGTGTAAAAAACCTTTTTAGTTTTGAAATGGCTCTTTAATGTGACGTAATTACGTGAGGCACAATGGAGCTTATGAGCAAATGGGTCGTACACCGAATGAGTAAGCCGTCCGAACCTTGTATAATTAATTTCCTGACTGGATACGAGCAAAATGCATTTACTTTGTGACTTGATAAAGATAACACAATGCGAGTGTAACTCGTCTATTCCGTTTGCGGTGTACACTATGGAGAATCACATACACATATTCTATGCCGCATGAAGATAGAGTTTACGTCCCCTGAATTAGATAAAGGATGCTGATATTTAAAGTGATTATAAATGATGCTTTTTACAACGTTGTCAATAGGAATATATTTAACGGAACATGTAATTTAATAGTGTGGCATTTGATGCTGTGCATATAAAACTTGCAAACGATGACGATGATTACATTGATGTGCGCTAAAATAAGTAAATGGATCCGAAGCTGAGAGTTATTTTTTTTTTGTTTGATACAATCTAATGAAAACTCATTGAAAACAGATAACCAAATGTATCACAAAGCGAATAACACATTCAGGCAAATGCCAAAAAGTTTCACACGATCTGCCTGTGGCAACTCTCTTTTCTGGTTTTACGCAGAGTTTGAACTAGTTCAAACGCTTTTGTGAAGCAAAAACATATCTTGTGACGTTGAAAACAAAAACGAGCATTAAAACGATGGCACTGTGGAACCATGAAAAAAATGGGATGTTTGTAAAAATAACGGAAACGAATGTGAAATATAAAAAGAAACAAAGTAACAGATTATAATCAAAATGTCCATAATGACAAGAGTGAAAAGAGATAAACAAATAGCACTGTTCTACATCTTATTCTTGGCATCACCAAACACTAAACACACGAATATTCAACGATGAAAAGAATTCCGTAGCAAAGCCATCCAACAAAATCTGAAGTCAACGTCGATGTCATGAAGGTACAGAACCTACCCCAATGCGTCTTTGAAATGAGCCGCATGCGACGGAATGAATTCAGCAAATAAAGGGGCACGTGAGGATGAATTCATTTTGAATGAACACTCATTTCCCCTGACTGAAGCTTTTCATGTTAAGTGGATGGATGCATCGTGGAATCGTTGACTTCAGTCGTTTGAATGCGTGAATATAGCCAATGCTGAACATCAACGTTCATCTCTTCTTTGTGCATCATTGCCAAAAAAAACCTGAAATTTATGCGATATATAAGTTGAAACACATTTTCCCGATTTTTTTCAGTTGTTGGCGAACTGCTGTCGGCATCACGCATTTCCATTCCAAAATCAATCCAATGATTTCATTCATTTCCTTCAAATATACTACAGTAAAGCAGAGCGATACTCGCTATATTGTGCACCTACTACCTGCATTCGAATGATGCATAAAAGTTGACAATTTCAAAAAAGTCCACTTCAATCACTCAACAAATTATAATTGGAAGAATTATGCATCGGAATTAAAAAAAAAAATCAACGTAAATTTAATAAACTCATTAAAAATTTATCAAACGAAAAGTGCTTGTGTGCATAAATTAAAAGCATTCATAAAAAAAATCTGCACAAAAAATTGAGAGTGAAGATTCACGGTGCGCGATATTAAAATTGGACGGAAAACAATTATCATCAATAACGGCTCAATGAGTTGAATTAAAAAGATTTTTCAATCAATTAATAAATTTTTCAAGTTTGCTCATTACGACTGAGGAATATTTGTGTGATTTTTTTAAGGCTTCTGTATCAAAAATTGAGTGAAAGTAAATAGTCAAACAAAAGATCGAAATAAATCAATTACAGTTGATAAAACAACGATTCAATGTCGCGCATATAAAGTGAAGCTTTTTTTGCAAAAAGAAACATTGCTTTTTGGGCATTTGCCTTTGCGTTGGCAGTATTTTCAATTTATTTGCGATGAACCAATTGAGCGGTGTGGATGCAAAGGACATCGTCAGTAGAAAGTGATGAACGATTTTCGATTCGAAAAACAACAAACCCACATAAAATCAAAATTAAACATTAAAAACATAATAAAGATCCCACAAAAAGAAGACATTTTTCGGAAGTTTTGGTTCCAATACCATCTGGTGACTTTGTGTGTTTTGATTTTTATGTAATTACTAAAAAAAAGTTGGAATTTTTCACAGTAATAAATAAATATTTAGCCATCAGTCAAATTCGAGCAGATAAAAACGGTTTATGAAGAAATTACGACAAACAAATTCCAATTTAAAGCAACTTGTGAATGAATCGTCAAAAAAGCGGAACATTGACAAAGTGAAAGGATTTCAAATTCCGAAAAAAAGAACAAACGAATGCACAAACTGATATTGAAACTTTTTTTGTTCATTCCCTTCGTCTCTGTTAAATGAAAGGCAAAATTTCAAGTGTTCCGGGCATATTTTTGTGAAAACTTTTCACTTTTTTTCCCACTGTCATTCTTTCATTCTGTTTATTAACAATTTTCAGTTGCTCTCACACTTTAAACATTTGTCGCAGCATACGCTTCACACTCTTTGTGCTGGAACTGAAGAGAAATGAACTAAATGTGTGTGCAAACAGTGTGAAACAAAAAGAAGTCGGAAAACAACAATAAAAAAAGAACAGAAAAAAATGAAAACAAGTGAAGAAATGTAACTGAAGAAAAAGTTAAGAAACGGGCATTAGCATTGCATAGGCAACAAAAAAAATTAACGAAACAAACGCCAAGCAGAGAGAGGAAAAAAAATGAAGAACATGAAAATAAAACTTTAAAAGCATGGCTTTGCGCTATTTCTAAAGTGGCTCTTTTGCTTACACAACACCAAAGCAGAAAATAATAATATAAAAAAAGTGCGTGTGTAACGAGATTCCATTTGAATGCATTGCAATGAATTGAAAGTGTTTCGGTTAAATATAACATACGAATAGAGGTTTTTTCCTTACTCTCGCTAAAGCATCAAACGACAAACAAGAAGTAGAGAAGAGAGTGAATACAAATGCAACAAAAGCTGAAGAATAAGAAGAGAAAAAATAAAGTGGATGATATTCTTGCAAGAAACTGGAAAGAATAAAAAAACCTTCAACAACTAAATTGCTGCAAATAGAGAATCGCATTTTTCTTATCGCTGTGTGTTTGTGTACGTCTAGTGTAAAACCGTTGTTGCATTGGCAAACTGTATATCCGTTGGCAGTACGTAACATTACAATGAACTACTTAGAATAGCAAGTTAGTTTTTTTCTTAAATATTATTATTGTTATTATAACACAAATGTGGCGCACACACACACACTTAACTGTTGTTTGTACATGTGATCGAATAAAACATTAAACAAAATTTGAGATAGCACAAACAAACCAGCATACAGGAACACATTTCTTTTATTTATTGCGGCGAACAAATACAAACAAACTTTAATACATTTAGTCGGAGGAAAAAAGCGGCGCACAAAAAAAGAGCCACGAATCATCAACAAGAAGATTTGTCGAAACATAAAACGACACGATTGACGACAAAAAGACATAGCTCACGCTACTGTATTTGCTTTGTGGCTTATGTTGTTTCTTTTTCTGCTGTCACTTCCATTGTGCAAAGGAACACCGTCCGAAAGTTTCACGAATCAATTTTTCTCTCTGGCGAATTCGACAACATTGTTGACACATGTGTGACTGTGACTTCAAACACCAACGACACAAAGACGAATAAAAAACTCAAATAATAAAGCTTGGAATTCAGAGAGAGCCAAGGAAAGAATGAGAGACAAGTAGAAAAAAAACTGTTCTCAGAATTTTGTTTCCGTCAAAGTAACTTTGGTGGCGTTTTTGTTTAAAGCGCATTCGACTTTTTATTCCTGTCCACTTTGAATGAAATCGGAACGTAATTAGTATTTGCTTTGTGTGTCGCTGTGAATGAGAATAGGTTCTTTTACATCATCCTCTATCGTTCATTTGTTCGATTAAATAAACCACAAATTGTGTGCCATTTTGATTCCCGTTCGTTCCGATTTCAACTGGCCGTCAATACATTCATTTTGCAACATTGCTCAGAGAACTATACGACTCGTCAATGTAATTATAGTATACATACATCTAGAATTTCCGCCTGCGGTTTTTCAAGTGAGTGAAAGGATAAAAAAACACCGTAGCCACATCTGTAAAAGTGAAGAACTTGAACAATCTTTCAGTCTGAGTGTTGTTCGCTTTGTGAATATTGTCTAGAGCAGGGCGTGCGACAAGCATTAACTATTGCATTGAAAGAACCGTGTACACTGTAATTATGAAGAACAATTTGCAATGGCAATTCGTTAAAACAAATGGACTTCAAAAAACAAAGTTGTGGCAGCCAAATGAATGGCAACATACATGCATACATTCATCATCACAGCACTCGAGAGTTTTTATGAATGAAAATATGCCCGCATTTATGCCAAGTAAGTTTGCTTTTTTAATGAACTATATATTTTTTTATGGAGATTAATTTTGCAAAAATCATTTTACTTTTTTTGTTATTTTGTGTACAATCATATAAAACATTCGAAAATAATTGTAAAATAACGATAACGGGGGAAAAATAACTTGTTTTTCCGGTTAAAGAGAGAGAGAGAGAGAGAGAGAGAGGAGGGAGAGAGAGGATTCGAGAAAATATTCAAATTTATTCACCGTGCAAAAATTTGTATGCAACGAATGCATTAAATTTAATTCCGTTGTAATGCATTTTTTTAGCATCCACATTTTATTCCAGCAAAAAATAGATAGAACGGAAAGCGGTGATGGATCCATATAGTTTACAAAAAGATTTGAATTAACTTAAAGCGAATTGAAAAATGTGTAGTATTTTTTCATTAGGAATGTCATTTACCACCAGCAGCGTAATACGGGTATCATCCAATCATTTCCTCACACGCCCCAACTTCATTTTTTTGCTCCTTCCCGACCATACACATTCTCTTTCTATGTGCTTTTGCATATTTCTCGACTTTTATTAGCTCGGAACTCCACGTCATTCTTTTATCTCTAATATCCTGTTTCACCATCACCCGTTAAATACAACACAATTCACATTCAAATGCGTTCGCATCTCGAAAAAATTGTTCTCGTTTTTTGCTTCCATTTCTGATTGTTGATACTGTCATGCATATATTCCTTTTTTTCCTTGATTTCTAAGTGGTAGCCACTACTATTATCTGCCAGTAAATGACAAAAGCACATAGAGGGGGGCAGATATGCAGGAACAGAGATAGAGAGAGAAAAAGAGAGAAAGAGCAGGAGATAGAGAGAGAGATAGAGAAGGAAGAGAAAAACAGGCCAAAAGATATAGATAGAGAAAAGTGCTCATTTTTCCAGCGAAATGTCAAGAGATGTTTCAAGTATGCTGCAATTAAAAAGTCCTACTCGACATTCATTGGATGTGTTTATCAAACGAAGTAAAACCATCGTCGGCTTAAATAACAGTTTCATTTCGTTTGTTATTTTAAGCGGTAATTTTGTTATTCTATTTTTTCCCTGTGTATACACTTCAACAGCATCAGTGGTTTATTTGTGTTTGTATTTTGTGTTGAGTGCTTGGCTACCGTTTTGTGGATTTCATCGTAAAACCAACTTTGTGTGTTTAGCTTTTTCGTTTTTCACTGTTTTCAACTGTCTTTGTGACGTTGATAATTTGATGAACGCTCTGTCGCGCATCCCCCCATCCTTGTGAATTCTTTATTATTTACTACCTTCAATTATGCTAAGCACCAATTAACATTAATATTAAATTGGTATGCCTACTTCCATTTCATCATTTGCTTCATCACTTCTGTCCTTTTATCCAGGACCTCTCCGCTCTATTCCGACTTCAAATCATTTAAATTGTTGCTTGTTAGGATCCTTTTCATCAATTTACATTCTGTATTATTTTTTTTTTTATGTGGTTAATACTTAATTAAAAGCGACGTATTGAGATGAGCAGAAAAAAACGCCAACCACAAATATTTATATTACAAATCAACCATTAAAATTCACACCAATTCTTTATCGCACCATATTTTATCACTGCCGATTTTGTCGAATGTATTTCCATTGGGAAAAACGTATGAAAAAGAGAGGGAAAAAATACAGAAAATTCAATTTATTGGGTTTGGGGGAAGTTTACGGTTTACAATGATTGATTCTCATTTTGTAATTGTGTACAAAGCAAATACCAGACATTTTTTACGAGCTTGTGATGAATCAAATAACATTTTGCATTGTGATTGTGGTGCGACTGTAATGGTACGAGGAAAAAAAATTATTTTCCATTTCGACTGTATTTGTGCGTTATAGATTTTGTAATAGTTGTTGGCTCCGAATACAATATAAATAAAGGCACAATAAGAATAATTCACAAAATGATATTAAAAGAGCAAAAGTTTTTTTTTTTCGTTCATAAAAAACGTACCGTGGCAACAAAATTGGGGCGCAACAAAAATGTCTGGCCGTTCACAATGATGGTTTATGGTTGGTGGATGTTGAAAAAGGAAACGAAAAATTATGGAATCATTCCGGTTTCGTTTTTTTTATGACGGCCCCAAATAGTAGCCTGTATTTTTCAATGATAAAAGATTAAATTTCAGCATCGAAATGCAATCCGAAGAGATAAGTAAAATGAGGGCGAAAGAAAAATTTGTAAACGTCTGGTTTCAATCGGATATTGTTGAATCAATAATATATATATGTTTTCGATATAGATGAAATAGAAATGGTAAAGATTTCCAAACCCAATCCGTTCGATTGGATCATCTGCAATGTCAGAGGTTATTTGAATGAAATATCCAATAATACCTTTCAACAAGCAATTTAATGAACTGTGTGGTGTTGTGGTCATCCAATTCAATTCATGCACTGCACTCACAATTGGCAGAGATGGAATTTTTTTTCCGTTTTCGAGTCGAAATTGGAAAAGTGTTTGGCCGAAGCGTGCCTGGAATTTCGAGTGAGATTTCGAGTAAATTACAATTATGCAAATGCAACCATCACTTTGTGACGACGACTTGAGCTTGCCTTGAATCGACCACAACGTGTTGCCTTTTCTTGTTCTCGTATTCTTTTTCATTCGCCTTGTTGCCATGAAGTGTGTTTCTATGTTTTTTTTTTTGCTCACGCTCATTGGATAATTTTGATTTGTTTGTCAGCAGCAGCGATAGCAGAAATTCGATTGAAAGTGTCAGCAAGACACTGTCTGGATGGCAGAAGTGCTATAAATTGGTGATCGTGTTAGGAAATCTTAAAATATACACATAAAATATCTGTGATATGGGTGTGTGGCTGTTTTGATGATTGTTTACTTATGTTTTGGAACTTTTTTTCTCGTGCCAGCAATAGAAAACAAGATGAATTGTTTACACTGAATTGATGAGTTCTTTCGATGGTTTTGTTTAAAAAAGAGACGCGCAACAAAGTATACATGGATAAAGGACATGGATTTGGCCTTGTTTAAGGCTGAGATTATGTAATCTACAATATATTCAACGATTTTGAATGTTTTTCAACTTTTTTCGATGTTTTTATTACATTCGATTGTCTTCGACGACAATCCGGAGCTTTTGCGATACAACATCGATACTGTAAGCGGAAGGAGTTATGTTTGAAGCCAAATAGAAATGAATATAAAGATAAAGTGAAAAAGGGACCTTAAAATCCTTCACACTGTTATAATTTAAGTCACGCTCATGTTAAAACATGTCTATAGTGCGATTCTATCATATATACATTGTTGTCATTGCGTATTTTTTATTATGCAATAAGTAACATTCAACTGCGGCCAAAACATAAAAATACAAAATACAACGCGCGCACCATTGACGCAATGATAGCAGTTTATAGTTATATCTTATGGGTCTTCCTCTATTGATTTCGATTTGAACGAATGAATTTCGACACATAAAACTCAAAAGACAGCAAAACATTGAAATAGAAAGACCTTTCTCTCTCCCTCCCTTCCTCTTCCCCCTCTCTCTTTCTGCCTTTCGAATAACATACAAATGTCTGTTGAAATACATGGACTGTGAAACGAAAAATGAATGGAAAAATGACACGAATGACTTAATAAATAAATTTTCGTTTCAATTCCAAGTGTCAACCATATTATCGGCTTCGATTCGTTGGGCTCGTTCACAAGAATGAATATAAAAAAAGATCCGTACCGAAGGCAACAAATAAACGATGATAAGGCACATTTGTACATTCATACGACTGGATGCTGGCACTGCCGAATTATATGATTCTGATATACGTAAAATGTGAATTGCGTTCGTTTTCAAAACCAATGAAAATCAAATAAATAAATTATATACGCACGGAGCACGGTGAATTTGAATAAATTATCGAAATTTCTGCCAACAACAGCCATCCAACGACCTCCATTCTGGCATTTATTAGTGACTCTGTGTTTTATCCTTCGTTAGTTTTTTTATTCTATCGCTTCACATTTGAAATAATGGCTCTCCTCCTTCTTCGTCAGACAATGTTGTGACTTAGCACGAAAAAAACGCAACCGAAAAATAAATTGTGACAAAATCCAAGCGACTCATCGTAAAATTGATGAGAAAAGAAATTGTTGGAGGATAACATCTCAATTTCACGTCGATGCACGTTTGTTTCAAACAGTTGAACGCATGTCCAATCCATGCACACATACATGCCTCGATTTTGTGCAGAGGCTATATGCATAACTATATAGAAAATTTGATTTAGAAAACATTTGCATTTTAATGTGCAGTGTATACGGAAAAGTTAGCATTTTCCATTTGAAAAAAGTTTGACCTTTCGAAAATCGAATTAAAAAGTTCTAATTAAAACTTTTATTTGATAGTCAAATATAGAAAATGGTGCAAACCAGAAAAACAACACCATACACCCGGGTTGGCCAACACTTTGGAATGGGCTTCTTTGTAATTCCGATTCAATATTTTGCGGACACTCAAAAAGTTCGAACGAATTGATTAAATTATTTTCTTTGAAAATTTTGGTACACTTTTCGGCTTCTCCGCCAAAAAAACCGAATGTACACTAATTGCATAATATTAATTTTTAATATTTGGTTAATGCCGCTGAACTGTTCCATTGCCATAATGCAAATTTGTATGAAGTTTAATAGAAATTCGTGGCATTTGTCCAATACATGAATAAGTTATTGACTTGACATCTGTGGGTCTTTGAACTGTTGTTTCAGTGAAATTCATCGCATGCTTCGATCCATTCTGAAGAATGAAACGGTTCGACAGCAAGAAATGTGTACAAATTAAATTGCGTCGCTGTGACCAGACGAGACAATCGAAATGCAATTATAATCCGTTTTTGTTTAGCTCAATTTGTGAATAAACCCGATACAAAAGACTTTATCACATGCCGTTTCATTCGAATCATATGAAGAAACAATGTTGAGAAAAATGTGCAAATTTGTCAAATTCCA